TGCAGGGAATGCATTTTGACAATTGATGAACTGAGTAGGCAGGCAAGATTTTGGTGAATACTTGTTATCTATGTACGAGAGCAGAAGAGACTATTTCCCTGGTGTCCAGTGGTGTACAAATTTTATGTTATACTTTATAGGTTTTTATGCATCAACTGGGTGATGGTAGGGTTGGTGAGAGACGAAATTTGGGCGTGGAAGGGCACTAGAGAGTGGGAGGAAAGGAGCGGACTTAATTCCACTTACCATCTTTTGAGTAGTTTGGAATGAGAGAAACAAAAGAGCTTTTAATGGGGTTGGTGATGTGAATGGTTTTGATTTCTAAATCCTTGGATTTTTGTTATTGAATCTTCCCTTTTATTCGATGGAGGACTTAAGGGACCTCGTCGATGCTTTGATGGATATGTAAATTTCTTTGTAAATGGGTTGGCACCTCCTGAGTACCGATCTTACTACTGTAATATACAGTTTCAAAAAATAGAAGGTGCAGCATGAGCTGTGCATTATATATATGGTTGGGAAAATTTATACAGAAGATTATTATTATTATTATTATTATTATTATTTGAAATAAATTATACAGCTTATTGTAAGTTCGATTTGTCTCTGAACTGATCATGGAAGGAATACTGATTTACTTTTTGGAATTGTGAAATTTTAGCTGGTTTTTCAGTTTTGCTGTGCAACCATCCATGCTAGAAGATCCTTCACGATAAAGTGAAGATCACAATTCTCTATGTTTTATTTGGTGCACTACATAATTAAAGAAAGAATTGTGGATTGACTAGGATTTCGATTGTTTAATTCTTCCTGTGCCATTTTCATGCAAGGTGCTTTTCTTTGTCCAATCTATTCATGTATAGTTTATAATATTTATGCATTTTTCTCATTGCAGCAAGATAACAGTCAGTCTTAGATATGCAGATCTTCTCTCTGTTCTTCCAACTCGAGTCAAAGTCCTTGCATGGCCAGTGAATCAATTGAAGAGACACTGTACTAGTGCAGCAATTGCCAACAGAAGGGACAATGGAGGAATGGGTTATGCCCCCATTCCATCTCGCCTAACCTATGCAGAGGAAGCCTTGCGAACCAGGAGCTTGCCAGAAGGTGTTGCTATATACAATATGTTTGTATATAATATCTATGTAGACAGACGTATTTCTACATGTATAGCCCCATATTCTAAATGAAGACGTTTTAATTTGTCTATATCACTAGCAATAGATGGTCAATTCTTGTTAAGCAACACTGATGTTGTTTATGTCGCTGGTCTTTGGGGGTTTTCTTTTCTTTCCTCTCCTGCATTCATTTTCAAGAATTTAGATTTGCTCATGTTTCTGAGGTTGCATTTGCTTTTTTTGGCATATTAAGGATGGACAAAAAGCTGTGAAAAATTAATCATATTCTATTGTCTCTAAAATCATAACTATAATTTGTAGTTTAATTATGCATTATATTTTTTATTTTTGGATATGGTGTCCCCTTGGACCTGTACAAGGGTCTAAAGAGAGTGATTTAGCCACGGAAGTACGAGGAATACCTAAGTAGGTAAAATTTCCAAACAATATTATAGCTAATATATTTTAAGGTGTAATGTCTGCCCCCAGTAAAAGCAGCGAGTTGTGACTTTTAGGATCATGATGAATTTGATTTTGCTTTTGACATGTAGTTTAGAAAGATTTCAGGTTTAAAAATGAATCTTTCGAGTAAAATCCACATTTTTATTTTTCCATTTTGGTGGATAGCCGAAACATATGTTGATATATGGAATTTACTTACTTCCTGCTTTGCTAGTCATTTGATCCTTTATTTTGTCTGCTTTGTAGTCTCATTAACCTCTTTCTGATTCTGACTGCTGCTTCTCTACCAGCATATGCAGAGATTGTGTTGAGTTTGCCACATGCGCTTCAGCAAATATCTCAGCTTAGAGGCTCCAACTAGTGTTTGACTTCATAGAAGGAAGTTCCATTGTGTACAGAGGCCCAGATATTATGCATTCTGCACAGATATATATACTGTTGTTACTTGTGTAGGAATGTGAATCACTAGCGAACTAAACTGGACTTGTGAGACTTGTAGTTTAGGTGAATTTTCAGATCTAACTGAAATTGCATGGCTCCAACTGTCCGACCTGGGTTTTATATACTAGAAACTAATAATAGAAGTGGATCTTATGATTCATTGTTTTTGGTTTCTAACTTCTGGCAATTTCCTGGAGGTAATGATTAAAATCTGAGGGGAATCTGCCTGGTGCAATGCTGTTTTTTCTTTTTTTTTTCTTTTCTTCGTTCTTTAATTACAGGTGGAGAAATCTCCTGTTTTGTATAATTTTGATTCGATGCTGCCAATATTGATGGTCCAGTAATCTATTAACCATTGCGGTTGATTGTGAGAACAGCTCTAAAATCTTTAGTTTGTTCTTTGGCTGAAGTTTTAGAACTGTGAAATATACTTGCGACTAAATAATCCATGAAAGCTTTGCCTTCTGGTTTTCTGAGTGACTTGGCAGTAAGAAAGCGTGAAACTTATAACCTTTATATTTAATCAGCAGCAGTGGATTTTGACATGCATGCGCATTCTTGAAAGCAAGTAGAAATAGTGTGGCATGTGCCTGCCACTTCAAAACAGGTACTGAAATTGCAGAAATTGAAAAATTGAAACGTGGATGCCAATTTCTTGTGTTTTTCTGTTCAAACAGTTGTTTTCACTCTCTTCTATACCTACATATACCCGAATGGAGAAAAAATTCTGACTGCTACATTTTTGTAGTTATATTTCAGACACATAAGACAAGAAAGAGAAAAAGAAAAAGAAAAATGCGCAACTGCTACCACATTGTGATTTATAAGAGGTCGTTTACTCTGATTCTAATGACAAACAGAAGTTTCAGTTCGATTCTGGACAAGCCAGAGTGTCTTTGTCAGAGCTTACTTTTCAAACCTAATCAACCTTTTCTCCTTACCTAATGCTTTTGTGTTCTTATATCTTGTTTCTTTGTTCTCCTCTCAGTCTTTTCATTCCGTTCAAGAATCTTGTAAGAAAATGACAAGAACTATGGCGTTTGGGTTCTGAATTATATATGGCCGCAATTCACTACTACCAGCTGAAGCAAGCAATATTCTCTTGACATACAAAACCATGTTTCCTCGTACTTTGCTCTTGCTACTCTCACTTATTCTTTTTAAAACAACTCATGCCCAGCTTCACTTGGACTACTACAGAAACTCATGCCCAGATGTGGAATCCATTGTTCGATCTGCGGTCCAAGAGAAGTTTCAGCAAACATTTGTTACAGCACCAGCCACTCTCAGGCTCTTCTTCCATGATTGCCTCGTTCGGGTTTGTTGCCTTTTTTCATTGAAACTAACAGTGGCTTTTACTTCCGTTAATCAAGTTTGCAATGTAAATAATGAAGTTAACCTTTTGTATGTATATGTGTGTATGTAATAATGAAGTTATCTTTTGTGTGGGTATGTGTATATGTGTGTATAGGGGTGTGATGCTTCTGTGCTACTAGCTTCACGGAATAACAGGGCGGAGAAAGATAATCCAGAGAATCTCTCGCTAGCTGGGGATGGGTTTGATACAGTGATCAAAGCTAAAGCTGCTGTTGATAACGTGCAGGAGTGCAGAAACAAAGTTTCTTGTGCTGATATTTTGGTTATGGCCACAAGGGATGTGATTGCATTGGTAAAACAAGCATTTCTATTATAACATTTTCAATAAGGGGCAACTTTTTATCATTCAAAGACATTAACTTTTTAGCAAAAGTGAACGTTTTTTAATTGGTTAGTGATCGAGAAGTGTTCTGTGATGCAGACAGGAGGACCATCTTACGCAGTAGAATTGGGAAGACTTGATGGGAGGGTCTCTACAAAAGCAAGCGTCAGGCACCAAATCCCACATCCTGATTTCAAATTGGAAAAACTCGAAGCCATGTTTGCCACTCACGGACTCACTTTAGTAGATCTCATTGCACTTTCAGGTAATGACAATTTTCTCAAAAGGTTGTAGAAGGAAATCGATATAATGGTATGGTAATAAGTTTTCATGGAGATTCTTGTCATTTTGGAGGAGAGTAATAAAGCGTGTAAAATACAGGAGCACATACAATTGGTTTCTCACATTGCAGCCGCTTCTCCAAGAGACTTTATAACTTCAAGAGCAAAACCAGGATTGATCCCACTCTGAATCCAGCATATGCAAGGGAGCTTCGAGGTATGTGCCCAGAAGAAGTAGACTCAAGAATTGCCATAAGCATGGATCAAACTACACCTCAGACATTTGATAACGTATACTACAAGAATCTCGAACGAGGAAGGGGACTGTTCACATCTGATCAAACACTGTTTACTCATAAAAGATCAAGAGATATTGTTCGCTTATTCGCATTCAATTCCACAGCATTTGAAATTGCTTTTGTTGATGCCATTACAAAGCTAGGACGTATAGGGGTCAAGACCGGAAATCAGGGAGAAATTAGGGGTGATTGCACCATTGTGAACTAGTTGAAATATGTCATTGTTTAAATGGCCATTGCTTGAACTAGGAAAGTTCAATTATTTAGTCAGACCAAGGAATAAGAAATGGAAAAGATACAAAGTAGAAAAGCAAAAAAAAAAAGAAATTTTGTAGGCGAATTCGTGTATGAAGAAAAATGATTTACTTCATCTGACAATTCAGATAAAAACAACCGTCTATGAATTACCAACCTAACCTAGAGATATTAATGTACTGTAATGTTCTACATCTTTTTGGATATTGTTCGTCGTCATATTTTTTGAGGTTTCCAACAAAAGAAAACATCACGTTGGCTGCTGCAAACCCAATTGGTGTTGCTCCTCAAACTGTGTAATGCTGCTGAATGGTATCAATGTCTAGTCCCTTCAGCTTCACCACCGATTCAACGTGACCCTTGAGAGTATGAAGCTCTCTCAGCCTGGATAAGAATACACTATATATTTAGTATCTCAATGAATTCCTCGAAGAGTAGTTAAAGAACCTCTATAGTTCATAAATGGCACTCACCTTGCGACCTCAGCTCGGCGCTTGGCTTGCTCGGCAATCTCTGAAAGCTCCCTGTAGCTACTCTTTTCATTGAAAAGACTGGAACTTTCAGGTGGTTGAAGGCCGTGCAGGGTTCTCTGTGCAGCAGCCCACTGTGCTTCTCTCTCTTCTTTCCCATAGTCTTTCTTTGTAGTAAAGGCAGTCTGTTACAAGAAGAAAACAAGGGGAATTGTTACTGAACAACAAAATCTCAACAGTCACTAAATCAAAATCCACATTGGATAATGTGAGATGCAAAAGGAGACCTTGTTCTCTAGCAGATTATCCCAGGCCTTCCCACTCAGAGCATAGCGGATTGCAAATTTGAGCAAGTCAAGTGGAATGTATGTTACCACACTATAAAGCCAGATTACTCCAGCCCATCCCCACCCGCAACCCTCTATATGAGCAAAACCCCAGTTTGCATAAACTGCAATGAACGTGGCCGCCTGTTCGAGTTCAAGCCATTTAAAAATTGTTAGAATACGAGTAATAAACCTTTTAATTTCAGACACAACAAACAAACGCCTATCCTAAAGGAGTAGTTTCACATAAGGACTTTATATCATACCAGCTGAGCGACTACGAAAGCTGTGACTAAAAGAAGTCCAGGGCGCTCAACGAAGGACCAACTGCGAGACCTTGTAACGAAAATAAGGGCCTGGCTCACTATACTGACTTGAAGGTATAGGGCTGCCATCATTTGCTCAGGACGGTGACCAATCGGTCTTACGCCAAACTTGTCCTGCATTACAAAAAAGATTGTTTAGATAAAAACTAAAAAAGGCAATGTAATAAGAGAAGAAAAAAAGAAGAAGAATCTATCCCTTACCGAGAAGAAGCTAGTGTCCCTCATTGCCCAAAAGAAGATGATTGTCATTAGAGCCAAGTAACCTCCAAGCACGATACCAGTGGAGAAAATTTCTTTTAGTTTCCAGCTGTCAGGCTGTGGAGATGGTTTCACTCGGTCCTTCGATATTGTCATGATTGTTCCTAAAGGAAAAGAAATGGATTTAAATTATAAAACTAATTTAAAGACCCTAAAAAAACAAGAATGTTTAAAAGAAAGAAGTGACCTCACCATCGTTTAGGATTGCAATGATTAGAACCATGAAGGGAGCAAAGTCAAACTTCCATATGAGAGCGATAAACATGAAGCCAAACTGCAAGTTGCAAATGATTTAAGTGGGATTACCCTAAGCCAAACTGCAAGTTGAAAAGCGCTTTGTCTGAAGATATTTTAGAAACACTTACCACAATACGAATGGTAATTGAAACCGCATATATCTGCAACAGGGAACGGTAGGAAAAGAGTGAGTGTTAGAACATAAGAAGTCGAACCATGAAATTAGATCTGAGCGGGTTGCGATAAATTAGTCTAAACTTGTACTCACAGTGTAATTCTTCATTCTTTGGAAAATGGCCCTGCTGGTCAGCACTGCACTTATGATTACGCTCAAACCAGGCTCAGTAAGGACAATGTCAGAAGCACTTCTGGCAGCATCCGTAGCATCAGCAACTGCGATTCCCATGTCTGCCTTCTTCAAAGCAGCGCATCATTCACACCATCTCCGGTCATGCCACAAATGTGTTTCCTTTGCTGCAACTTATTACAATCTCATATTTGTGTTCTATCATGTGCATAAAAAGAAAAAGAAGTTAGAGAACTGACGGTGAAAATAAAATATACAAGAAAATCAGTAATAAAGTGAAAAAAAAAATGAAAAAAACACAGGAGAAGGTAATTTTCTATCAGGTAACCTCTTTTGAAACTAAATAAATAACCTGAAAAAGAAAATAGCCAGTGATGTTGTGGATGACATAATGACAATTTCATAACGTCTAAGATGCAAAAAAAATGTAAAGCACGGAGATGGAAGTGTAGACACGGAGATCTTTAAAAACTTTATTAGTCGATCGAAATTTTTCATTAAATTCAGTTGGTTCCACTATATCTGTCGTAAGACGATGCATGATAGTGAAGATATAGGCAAATTTCAATGGCAAGTAACTGGAAGGAAATGGATGGTTTGTTAAAAAGGTTTTTTTGGCTGACAGCTTAAGCTGTAATCTTTTATCCGTACTCTGGTCTTTACTCATAAGGGTTGAAGTGTTGTGTGAAGCTTGCTCTAATGAACAAGCCATTTGAGGAATGTTTATGTTGTGTCAAGGTTACTTACGGTAAGTTTCTATTTCTTGTTAGTAATAGCTGTCATGAACAAATATTCGTCTAAGCATGAATTTAAGGTTTTAAATGAAAATGCAGATTAATTTTTACCTGGGAAGACTCCTGCAAATCCATCAGCCTTCTCAATCAATTCATCCACGGGAAGGGCTGCCATGGAAGCATCTTTGTCATTGCCAAGCAGAGATGAAGAGGGATACATGTTTGTTCCCATTCCAAGCCTCCGCCCAGTTTCCTTGGCAATGGCAAGCTGATCCCCTAGATATCAGAGAATACCAAATTGTGTAATGAAGCAGTGATCAAGGAATTCATAAAATCTGGGAATGGATTTAAAGGTCTTACCAGTAATCATCTTAACATTCACGCCAAGGTTTAAAGCTCTTCTGATGGTTTCAGCACTATCATGCCTAGGAGGATCAAAAAGAGGTAACAAACCAACAAATTGCCAGGGTGCTCCAGGACTCTCTTTGGTTTTCTCCGGTACTTCCTGCAGTAACATAGTATTAAGGAAATCATAAAAGAATGTCTAGTTAACTACTAAAATGAAGCTCCAGAAGACTAAATTTACCACCTGTCTTGCAACAGCTAAAGATCGTAGCCCACGTTCAGCAAACTTGTCAATCACTGAATGAACCTTTCTCTTAACATCCTCCTTGCAGTTGCAAAGAGCAATTATCTATTACAGGGAAACAAACACACACATATATCAAATTCCAGATAAGAAGCATGGAGGAGCACAAAAAAAAAAAAATTATTAATACCTGCTCGGGTGCACCTTTGCTGGCACGATGCCAATTTCCATCATAGTCAATGTAGGTCAAAGCAGTTCTCTTGTCAACGGGGTTAAAAGGAAGGAAATGGACCTCTCTAATACCAGCCCGTGCCTGTGCAGTATATAAAAATGAAAATAACAAAAAAAAAACTCCATAATTGTTAAATCCTTGGATAAAAATCAACTTCTAAGGAGAATAAAACTGAACTACAAAACAATACCTCCTTTGGATCCGCAAGCATCCCTACAATAGCAGCATCAATAGCATCTTGATTTTCAGTCCTTGAAGCCCTTGCTGCTAGGAGGATAACATACTCTTTCTCGACCCCCTTTGCAAAAACTTCTATTAGGTTTCTGTCGACAGTTAGCTTGTTCAGTGTTAGAGTTCCTGTCTTGTCGCTGCAAAGAACATCCATCCCTGCCATTTCCTCAATGGCAGTCATTCTCTTGGTGATAGCACCTTGCTGAGAAAGTCTGTGGGAACCGATGGCCATAGTGACAGACAAGACAGTGGGCATGGCAATTGGAATACCTCCAATCAAGAGAACCAGAAGATTGTCAATCCCATCCCTATATGCACGATGCTGAATGGGATACATTACAATTATCTCGATGACTATACCAACGGCAATAGAACAAATGCAGAAATTTCCTATGGCTGTAAGAACCTTCTGGAAGTGCCCAACTTGATTGGTGCTATCCACCAGATGAGCAGCCTTACCAAAAAAGGTATGAACACCGGTGGCAATTACAACTGCCTCTATCTCACCCTGCTTACATGTTGAGCCAGAGAATATTTCATCCCCTGGGTTCTTAGTAACTGGTAAGGACTCTCCGGTTAGGGCAGACTGATCAATCTTCAAAGGATCACCCTCAAGAAGACGGGCATCAGCAGGAATGATATCACCCAGTTTAACGCTTATTATGTCCCCTGGAACCAAAATTGCAGCATCTTGCTCACTCCATCGACCATCTCTGAGAACCTACATATACCATAAACGAAAGGGGAAAGAAATTTAATTTAAAACCAAGTTAGAAAGGAAGGGAAAAAAAGAGAAAAAAAATAAAAGATAAGCAGATAAAAGTTAGTTAATGTGCAATTTTCACCTTTGTCTTAGGAGCAAGACCAGCCATGAGAGCTGCAGCAGCATTCCCAGCATTGTTTTCCTCGATAAAACTGATTGTAGAGTTGATAACCAACAAGCAAATGATGCCAACGAAGTCCTGCCAATCTGGAGGCCTTCCGTCGCCATTTGCCAATGCTATAGCCATTATAGCAGCCATCTCCATGACCCATGACAATGGGTTCCACATAAAGCCCAAAAACTTCAGAATTTTGCTTTCCTGTTTACAAAATATCCATCAAGCATATGTTATAACGATGATCAGGAAGAGAATGTGGCTGCTAAATTCATGGTTAATAGTTTTTCAGAGTTGGACCTTTTTCTCCTCTAGTTTGTTGGGTCCGAAAACTTGAAGCCTGTTGGCTCCTTCCTCGGAAGTTAGACCTTCTCTTGAACATTTCAGTTGCTCGAATACCTCCTCAATAGGAACCCGCTCCTGCAGAAAAACTCCAGGATAGAGTCAGAAAGCATAAAGCCTTTAAAGATTAATAGTCATCAACTAAAAATAATAAAACGGGTTAATTCTTCATGTCTGGAAGAATTTTTTTTGGGTTATCTGCTATAAATCAATTGAAACTTCATTGATCCTGATTAGGAAAAAAAAACTTGAAACACAATTCCGCTAATATGACGTTTTAAACATCATTCTCGTGAGTACTACAATCACTTTGCTAGTTTCATGTTACAAAAGAAAATTAAAATGCCTACACTTCCTTTTCTTCGAACACAACTAAAATTGTCAACTCTATTTGGAGCTTGTTAATACTAGAGCCCCACAATTTGACAGTGAATTCCAACGGTAACTGTAAGGCTTTTCCACAGTCACGAGAAGATTTACAAAAGGACAACTAAGGGAAGCGTCATTAAGAGACAGCCCGCAAGTCAAACATGGGAACTCCATCTCTGACTTCTACTCACCAGAAAATGTTAGATTAAATATTTGGTCAGGAAAAAGTCAAAAGACTGTTTTCAATGTGACCTCCCTTGCACGGGACTCCCCACAGGTGATTTAATCAGTAAAAACATTTATGCTGCCACTAGATTATGATACAATTTTATAGTGATTAATAATAATAGGTAACTAAACTACTACAAAATATTTAAAGACAATATTTTAAAATTCTGAATAACAAACAGGAAATTTCCAACATATATCCGAGCACCGCATATCCCAGCCTTCAATTACCGCCTGACCGGTAACGAGCGGCTATTCCACGGGTGCGCCTTTATATAATAGGTTTTTTTTTTTAAAAAATAACGTTCTACGACAAGCCACGTACAATTTAAAATTTGAATTTACATCTTTATAAAAAGAGTAGAAATACTAATAATTTGATTAAGATAAAATTTATTGTTTTATATCCTGGTTTTAATTCTTATGATGGCTTAGACGATTTTTTTCTATAGAATTTATTATTACTTATATTAATATTAACCACATCTTGGATGAAAAATTAAACAACGAATAGGTTCCCAAAAGTAAAACAAATAGAATGGAAATCCATCCCCCTAACCAACAACTATAAGTTTCTCAAAAAAAATTTACCTTTAAAATTCACCCTATATGTACCTTAGAAAGTTAAGTAGGTACAGGCTCAACAAGAAAAAGGTAAGTAGGTGAGGGAGTGATTAGCTTAAATTCTTCCTGTTTATACACATGAAATAGAAATTACTTTTGTACACCACGGAGGTACTCCTCTCCCTACACTGAACGAACCGGTAGAGGGAAATAGGAAAAAGAAGCGAACGTCGCAGCAACACTAACAAAAATATCAAATCAGCAACTGATCCTTTTAATCCAGTTAACGTGCCCAAAGAAAGAAGGGGAATAAGAAATCAAGAATATATGCCGAGAGGAAATTTAATTTGTGGATTTAAAAACATATATTCCCGGATTGACACGCGCTTCTTTGCAGCGCGTGCATAGCAAAGGAGAGAAGGGTTGGGCTGGGGGGCGTGGGCGTGGGATGTCATGTCCATAAAGCTCCTGTCAGTTGATGGTAAATTGGTCTGTTACGATTCTCGGCATCTGATTCGCCCGTCACCCACGTTGTTTTGATGTTGCGTGGCATTATCAGCCCCACAGTTTCTTTTACTCTTTACAAATCCCTTCAAACGGAGGAAGAAGAAGAAGAAGAAGAAGAAGAAGAAGAAAGCTCTATATATGTATATACCCGTGGATTATGATTTTGTTTAAATAAAACTGTTATAGAAAGCAAATACTTTTAATCTACTGCGTATTAAGAAAAGATGCGTAATAATTGGATATAATTTTTTTTACCGAAAGAAAAATCAAACCTGGGCCCACTGTTTGAGTTTTTTTTTTTTTTTTTTTTTTTGTTTATTTGCTGGATCGTCGGCGAAATCACAAGACGTAAAGAATACTCGACCAGAAAGATTTGAGTAGATACGTATAAAAGAGAAGAAGGTTGAGATTTAGGTCAATCAACTCACAACTGATAGGGGGAAAAAGTAAAAGAGAAAAAAAGTTATTAATTAAGGCGTTACATTAGTAGATTACTTTACTTATAAAGTCGAAAAGGAACGAAGAGCTTTCTGTTTTCGCAGTGGCCAGTTTAAACAGAAAAAGTTTGAAACAAAACCCGATTTCTGTTTGTTTGAGGAGAAAACGTACGGAAAACCAAAAAGAAAAACCAGGGGAGGACTGTAAAGTTACAGGAGAAAAAACGAAAAACAAACTTTCTTCTCGCAGAATCTACTTCGCATTATCCTCTCCTATGCCTCTCGTATTCTCAGTAACCAAACAGCAAGTACACGTATATATATATATATATATATGTGATGCATCACAGACGCAACCTAAATTCAAAACCACGAAAACAAAAAGCGAAAAACGAAAGGGAAATACACAGAGAGATGATGAGGGGGAGATATATTTATATTACCAGATCAACGGATTCGTTTTTTATCTCCTCGAGACTGATAGCCTTATCGCCGCCCATGGTGGAAGCTCAGCAGAGGACAGAGAAAGCTATAGAGAAGATGACGAAAAAGAGCGATTAGCAGCCACAAGCTTTAGATAAGCAAAAAAAATACAGAAGAAATCCGATCCGAAACGAATACCGATTTCATGAGTCCTTTTAAAAAATTAGAAAAAGAAAAAAGAAAAATCGAACAATTTGAAGAGGAAATGATGCGATATAGGAAGAAAATTCTCGTGGAGAACGATAGTTTGAACGAATGTGAATCGACTACCTTAAGAGAAAAGTTCAGTAGTCACCCCTTGCTTCTTCTCCCAGTTTTCTCTGCGTTTATATGAATGGAGTAGAGAGACGAAGAGGCATATACATATATAGATGTAAGGACTCTGCAACCTACAGCTTCAATTTGGTTTAGGACAGAGGATGGAGGATTGCTTTGCCTGGTGTCTCCAATTTATATCTCCACTCTCTTCCTTTTATGTGGGGCCCGTCCAGGCGTCCACTGAACTGTCCTTTTACTTTTATACCCTCTTCCAGTTCTCTACTCTTTCACATGCCTCGCCTTCACTTTTGACCGGAGACCTGCCCATCCCGTCACACCAAGGCTTGGTAAATGACGTCAATTTTACTATGATTGATTTTATTTTATATTACGACCCTCATCAATCTAATTATCTAAATACAATGGATTTTCAACCTTCACTTTTGACCGGAGACCTGCCCATCCCGTCACACCAAGGCTTGGTAAATGACGTCAATTTTACTATGATTGATTTTATTTTATATTACGATCCTCATTAATGTAATTATCTAAATACAATGGATTTTCAACCAAATAAATAAAAATAATAATATTGATTTCAAATAGTTTGAAAAATCTCACTTTGATATTTACTAAATAAATTAGGATTTTTCTATTTCCAAACACTGAGCAAATTATATTTTTTATAATTAAATTATAAAAATCTAATTCAAGAAATTTCCTCTATTTGCACTAATTTTATATACATTTGAAAGTAATTAAAATTTTATTACCACGATTTAAAAGTATTTTATTTTTTATTATATTATGAAATTTTATTTTCAATATAAAAACTTAATAAGTTTTTAGATAATAATTGTTAAAACTAATCATAAATTGCTTCAATTATTATTTTTTATTTATAATTTGCTTGTGAATCTTGAATTGAATCTATTAATCTTAAACTAAATATATTTACTTAAGAGTATTTAAGGGTGAATGCATCAAATATTTATATCACTACGGGTATTATAATTAAATTCAATAAATTTATAAATTTATATTTATATTTTATACTATTAAAAAATGTTTAAAATTTATTTTATACTTTTTTTTTTTTTGTCTAAATTAGTTTAAAAAATTTGAAAAAAAAAATAATGTAATCCTATTATAATTAACTGATGTTGTTAACATGTTATTAATGCCTCATCATTTTACGTCACACCAATTTTTATAAGTTAAAAATCCAAACTCGAAGTTATTAGGATTCTTTCAATGGTTCCCTTATTTTTATTTTAGTTTAAATTATATTTCTTTTATTGAAGATGTTTGGGGAATATGTTTATCATTAAATTATTTAGAAAAATTTGTAATTTTCTTTGAATTACCACTAGATAATTTGATAGTTAAGAAATATTTATTTATATATATGTGTTAATAGATATACCCATAAAGATTAATTAATTTGTTAATAAAATAATTTGAATTATAATTACACTTTAGTATTGGATTAGATGATATCTGTTTGTTTTAAAAATTGGGAGTTAAAGATTCAACTATAATCTTCTTGAAATGAGAAAAGGAAAACCACCGTCAACGGTCGTCATTGCAAAGGAGCGTGAAGGTGACGCGGCCATAGGTGCAAGGCAGGGACGAACAGCGCACGAGTGATGAGGTGAATTTTATTGTAATTATATAGAAAGAAGTACGTGGCAGTCTGCTGGTGGGTGGAGGTACGAAAGTTGTGTTCCCCTCTTGGTGGCTTGGGTTTCGTCACCATCTTCGGTTGGGTCACGTGGAGCGTTTCACGGTGAGCATCCTCCATCCATGTGGAGCTCAACGTCGGTGAACCTCCACTGAAACATTTAATTCCCTTCCTATTTTATCCCAAAACCGACCGTACATTTGTCAACCGACCGTACATTTGTCATTTTCTTTTCTTTTTTAAATAAATGAGAAATATTTTTAAGTATTTTATTTTCTTTTTTCTGAAAATAAAACATTTTGTGAGGGAACTTTATTTGATGTTGATTAAAACTGCGACAATAAACACAAATAAAATATTTTATAAGGAAGAGGGGGGGAAAAAAAAAAAAAGACTTAGTACCATAATATATGTAGAAAATAAGTGTTCTAAATAATTATAGAAAACAAAATTTAATATTTTTTACAAGTTGTAAATTAAAATCTGATATTATTTGTGTGGATTTTGTTACAAATTTAAGCAAAATATACACACAATTTGTTTTTGTTATGATTTACAAATACGTAATTACATTATCATGAATCCTGCAATTTTGTGATTTGAAATAATTAAATTATGTGTTTAATTCAAAAGGAATACTTTTGATCCTCAATGATTATCTTCTTCTACACGAGTGTCAATTCCTGGGGTTAATATCAATTTTTGGAAGTCAGTGTTAGTTTTATTTTGAATGATAAATTAATTCAATATAAATATTTTTACTCCACTATGGGGGGCAGAAAGTTCTTTTACAGTGACCAAGAAAAGTACACGCATCCATTTGTCAACTTTTATTAGCCATACGATTATTATTGACGATATTTTTTCAAATTAAATATATTAGAAAAAAAATAAAATAAAAATATTATACATTACCTCTTGAGTGCATCAGCCTCATGCAATATTTATTTTCATATTAACCAATATGAAAAATAATAATAAATTTAAAATTTACATTTTTTTTTGATAGAAAAATAGTGGGTTCGTGCGGTGAGGGATGGGAAATTTGAGGCTCTCTAGTTTTGGTGGGACCCATTGGAAAAATCAAACTTGTCTTATCAATTTGTGGGGCCCAGTCGAAGGGACTGCTTTTCTGGAAACAAAAAAGTCAACATTTAATGTATTACCAGAATAAAAAAATGAAGAAATTCTCCGTTTCCCACATTTTTAAACTTAATTTTTTGGTCCAAGTCCTGACAAAATTGTACGACTCCTAAATTTCTGGCGAACGCATTTTGTTTTTTTTTTTTGGAATTAATTCCGGTTGAAGATGAGACTAATTAATTAGCTAATAAGAAACCAATTAAATATGCCACGTGACACTTTACAAACCCAATTTTAGCCACCGGCGGTGTAAAATGTTCCGAAAGTAAATGTTGATTTTTTGGGTATATATTCTTCTAATCAGCGCATATTTTATTGCCAAATACTTATTTAAAACATGAAATTCCAGTTTGGTAAGAAAAAAGGGGTGGTGGGTACAGGAGGAGTACAAAGTTGACCGGACAGTTCTACATTAACCAACAAATTTTCATTATGAAAACTATTTAATTATGATTCTAATTGGAAAACAAGAAAATGGCGACCATCTTTCATGTGTGTGTGGGTTAACCATATATGATCTGACTAAGCAATGTTTTGAAATATTATTCCATTATTTAAATTAAGAAAAATATTATATTTATATTATTTTATAATTTAGTGTAATATTTTAATTATACCTGTTAATTAAGCAAAGTATTTAATTTCAATGGAATTTCAGCTAAAAAGCATTCTAGTCGGGTAAGAATTGAGTTGACCCAGATGATGGTTTTAAGGATAATTAATTAATCAAGCAGAATAAAATACTCATAAATTATAATAATAGGTTATGTGCATACGATCATAATCATAATCATAATGGCAGTAACATCATGTAGTTAGCTTGAAGATGATGATGATGATCTTTAATTTGAAACAATAGACTTTTGAAGATAATGCAAATATCCCATTAGGGACGAAAACAATGGAGTTAAATTCTTATTCTTATCCAAATTCCTTGGTTTAAAATTTAAAACTACATTAAACCCAAATCTGTATTATATTTAAACTTTAAAAAAAAAACTTCAAATTCACCTTTAAATTTAATTTTTTTTTTCTTACTTTTTATCTTCTTATGAAGTTACAAAAATTCTTTAGTACTTTTATAGGGTAGTGGACTGGATATAGGGTAAGTTCATATTATGAGTAAATCTTTTATTCTATACCAAAAATACTGTCAGCACAAAAATTATTCTATAGTGTTATCTGTTGTTGGTGTAGATGCCCATCTTGAAAATTGAAACCTTCATTTTCAACTCATTGTCACACCTTTAGTGTCTTTAAATTCAAATTGAAAATCGATAGAAATTGATTGGGAAATGAAACTTAGTAATTAGTTTTAATTAATTGAAAGCCATATTACCCAAGAAGGAATCATAATATTGACTGAAGCAAATATAGGAAGTTTCTCTTTGTAATTAACGTCCATTCAGCGTGGAGGTCATTACATGGCAACAAGCTTATTGGTCACACAGTCACATGCATCTTTATTCTTAATCAACATCTTTATATAACCTTTTACTAGTCAACACCTTAAATTTGAACCTCTACTATGAACGAGAATATACAAGTATGGGATCAAAACTCATTGATTAACTATATATTTATATTATTCACACAAACTTATTATTTGGCTAGCTCTTTATAGTGAAATTATCTTTGAATATTTGCATATTACAATTAGACAACTAAGAAAAATTTATCATACCCAAATATTTGACTATCTACCTTCGATATGGAAGGCCAAATCAAGAAACTTATTTCTTATCTAGTTTTTGAGATATTTAAATTACTCATATTTTAAGACAATTTATGTGCTAATAAATTAGCGCATTAGGCCTATTATCTCTTGATTCCTTATATTATTCTACAATATGCTTCAGAGGACCTTAACTATCTTCTCAACTTTGATTGTAATGGTACTGTTTGGACTCGGTAACCAAGCACTAATTATTGTATTTGGTTATATATTCTCCTTTTCTAACAAAACAAAACAAAAAAATAAACGAAAAACAAAAATTATCCTAAACAACCTCATTTAGATGAAACTTGTTGCATTCTCCATTATCTTAAGCCATCTCCAAGCTAAGGTATTCTTCTTCAATACTTGAGTGATCTCTCTCTTCAAACTTATTGTGATTTCGATTGGAATAGTTGTCTCATTATATCTAAATGAGGTTTTTTAGGATAATTAAGCTCAAAACATGCTACATTCTTGAAGATTATCAACATTATACTTTCATTACCATAATGAAATAACATAAAGTGACCGTACAACTTTAATGCCTAAGAAGTATTTCAAATGAGCGAAGTCTTAAATATAGAAATAAGTGTGCAGATATTGCTTGAATTTTTGGCAACTAGGAGAAT